GATTATTAAAAATCAGAAAATATATTTTGAATGTAAGAATTTGTGGGGGGGATTATTTACTGATACAAGTCCTACTAATTAACCAATAGCTGGGTGAGAAAAGATGGATTCACACTTTTCTCAAAGGTATTTGCGCGTAAGTGTATATAACGAACCGGACTGGAATTTGAACTCGACACTCAGATTTCCAATTCAGAGCCGTTATTCAATGAACATCCCGCACACCGAAGCTTAAAACACATGATATTTTTAGGCGGTCACCCATCTAGGTACTAACCAGGCTCAACGTTGCTTCAGTGATCGTACGAGAACTGGTATTACGTGATATCACCATAAGCCAAAAGTTTAAGGAAGGAAAACCAGTTGAAGGACATAGCTTTTCCACAAAGTGTCCAAAATATGTTTTGTGTCAAGCAGATGTGCCAAATGTATACAAAGGTAGTCATAATGCATTATCACTGGTGTACGTTCTTGTATACCATCATGCAGTAGGCAAATAGTTACTGAATGTATGTGTTACCTATGGTATATAGTTGCATGTGTCATATTTTTAGTATAGGATTTATGAGTTGGAAAGAATTACTTTTTGAAAAGCTCATCTCTCTAATATATATATATATATATATATATATATATATATATATATATATATTATATATATTATGTGTGTGTGTGTGTGTGTGATCCACAGACACGCTGTTTCGCTGTATCACAGCCACTCAATGTGCCTATACGTCCGATTCCTTCAAGCCGAAACACGACAGATTTGACATCAGTCAGATATCTTATCTCTTATCTTATCGTGTCGCATGGCACGAAGGAAGGGAATTTTAACGTTTTTATCTATACGAAATACGCCAGCGACTCGGCGGACTCAATTCAATTTACTTGAAGTGTAATGCTTAATAGCAGTAGAAGCCGCTATTTTTTTTAAAAGCCCCTTTCCCTAGAAACACAACCGAATTTCCGAGTATATATATATATATATATATATATATATATATATATATATATTATATTTGGCAAAATGCAAAGAACAGATGCGAGTCAGGAAAGAGTTTAAAACCTGGTGGACGATCGATAGCAGAAGAGATGAACATGAATAGAGAAACAGTTTGGCAAATTTTAACAAAGGATTTGGGAATGAGAATTTCTTCAAAGGTGATGCCTCGCATCATGATAGTTTAATTTCTACAGTGTATGTAAAAATTATTTTCTTAAATTGAACAATGTACTGAAAGTTCAAAGATTTGCTTAAATGCCTAAAATCCAGCAAAACGTAAATCCAATACTGAACGTTATTTTCGTAAACAAGTTCCAAGAATGTTTCCAGTAACGGCACCATTATGAACCCTATTCATAAATCTTGGAGATCATGTCTCTCCACGACTTTTCATTTCTTGCAGTCCCCAGCAAGTCTTGTCCTTCTACCATCCCTCCTCCTTATTCCGACAAGCTCGTCTGGCAGGTGGCCCTCCGGACAGGTCCTGCAAGTGTCGACCCAACTCTCGTTATGTTTTCGAGAAACCCCAATTGTCTCTTTCTGACTCCGAGTATAAGCGTCCCTTTCACTTCATCCTTACCGCCCAAGTGCTTCGTTCATGGTACTCACAGTAACCCTCCGTTTATCCCCATCTTCGCTGCCCCAAATCATCCCCTCATCCGCAAGGAAGCCGTTTAGCACTCACTGCTATGCACATAGCCGTTCAGCGCTCTTCATGTCTACAACGAAAACCTTGTTTGCCTGTTCTTTGACTGGCCTTTGGAAAGCATCTCTTGCCACTCCAATGCGTATTTGGAGTCACGCCTTCCATCACACGCCAAAAACACTTCAAAGACATGCAAACATGTCGGTCCTAAAAGCAATCCTGATAACCCACTAAAGACTAAAACAAGACGAAATTAAATCTCTCATACGTAAAAATATTGTTTATTCAACGCTGGACTTTGTCAATTTTCATCGGCAAGTGGATGTGTGACTTTGAAGATTTTCTCCAAACTTAGACTCTTCTTTTCGTGAGGATGTAAAAGACTCTTATTCTTACTTTATACATCTATCACCTGGTTTGTCCCACATGTGCACAGCCTAAGCAACAGCTTATTTTTATATAAGCAACCACTACTAATATCTATTGACTCTGAAAAGCAGCAATCAGTTTTGGAGTAGAAGAAGAAGAAAAATAACTCTCTTCTCTACCTTTTTTTTTTTAAAAAAAAAAATCTGTATCTTCCCATTCTCTCCCTTATGTCTTCAAATCTTCGTTACTACTATTTTATGTCATACATAAATCTCTCAAAGTATCGATTGCGTAGCTCAGTGTAGCAAACATATGGTCCATGCAGGGACGGGTATCTTTGCTAGTAGAAACTGAACTAATTTTATCATTTAAGTAAGAACCATTAGCAAAGACTAATAAACACACAAATTTTTTTTTATCTTATCAGCCACATGTAAGAGAGATGGAAAAGTTAACTGACATTACAAGACAGAATATCGATT